GGAAGGACCGGAGGTCGGGGATTATGCGAAGCTCTGAGGGCAGCTCATTCCAGAGGGAAGGCGCTCCCACAGAGAAGGGTCTCCCCTTGGTTGTCGCTAGCCGACACTGTCTGGCCGACGGCACCCTGAGGAGGCTAACTCTGTGGGATCGCGCTGGACGGTGGGATGCTACTGTTGGCAATAGGTGGTCTCGCAGGTATCCTGGGCGCAGGTATCCTGTTTGCCTTATGCTTTAGAACAGGGGTGTCAAACTCACATTGTCATGGCAGCGTCACATGACGTATCAGGACTTTCCCCCCCTTCGCTCACCTGGATGTGGGCATGGCCAGCGCGTGAAGCATCCAACCTGTGGGCCAGGAGTTTGACCTGCATTAGAACTACCTGAAGCTCTAATAACTGCTAAACTCTAATAAATGTGTTGACATTATTCTTTTTGGCAGAAAAACAGCTACAATTTTAACAATATGTCTGAGTCAATTAAAAGTCAAGACAAGTCTATTAAAACAGGAGAATGAAAGCTATGTTAATACGCTTGCTTTATATATTTTGCAGGTATCCTGGAATTTATCAGTATAGCAGTCGGCTTGGTCAGCATTCGAGGGGTAGACAGTGGACTTTATTTGGGAATGAATGAAAAAGGAGAATTATATGGCTCGGTAAGTATTTTACAGTTAAAATATGTCTTTATCTAGTAAATTTTGATTATTTTTGTGTCTAATGGGATTCTTTTAAAATATATTACTCAACCATATCATCAGCAATTATGTAACATCATTAAGAAGATACCCAAATCTATCAATGCTTATTTTTCCAATTTTATTTAAATTAATTTTGGTGAATCTTTGATTTCATTTAAAGAAAGGTGCACATTTTTGTATGTATTTCTTCTGTGCTTAGGATTTAATTTTTGAGCACTATTAATCTGCTTTATGTGTAGGTAATCTACAGTTAAATGCACAGTCTAAGACTGGAAATTTAACAATTCAGGTACTACCTAAAATGATGGTGATGATGATGTAAAACTAGGCATTGGGGTGGGAGAACTGAATTATAAAACTGCACCTTTAAAGGAATAATTGAATTTTGGTTTAAATCTTTGTTGAGGCATAAAATGTATTAGTTAACCTTGGTTCTTTCTATTACTAAATATTTCTGTTGTGATAATTCTGTATGGATAAAATTTAGGCTCTTTGAACTCTGGAGGAAATGGGGTATATAAATGTAATAGATACATTAATAAATAAGATCTTACTAGTAACTATTGCTCTTTGTAATTGATAAATATAATAATCAGATTGTATTTGCGCTGTCAAGAGCTGCTGTTTGTCTTATTTCATCTACAGTGGTATTGGCATAACACTTGGATAGCATCACAGAGCAGCTATCTTTCTTAGATGTAGATTAAAACTTATAAATCAAATCTGAAAACATTCCTGTAATTTTCAAAAATAAGGATGTGTATTCCATTTTCTTCTGAGCTGTTTTTCCAATTTCCCAACATTGCCTATAATCCTGAGATTTGCTAATGATTGATACATCAGGAAAACCAGACCTTGCTTGCTTTTCCAAGAACAGCCGAGGAATACAATAGATGTATAATTCTTGTGCTGTTGGCAAAGTTTTCATATGGCATATAAATAAACAGTGGTAGGATTTGATGTAGCAGAATATTTAGAAATTCTAAGTCATTCCAGTCCCTATGGAACCATTATAGGTTGAATGGCATCTGACAGCTATACTGGAGCATGTTGCATTTGGTGGACACAGTAGATCAGGGGTGTCAAACTTGATTTCATTGAGGGCGACATCAGGGTTGTGTTTGACCTTGGGGGGGGGGACGTGGTCAGGGTGAGCGTGGCCAGCTTGACATCACTTGTATCAGAGTTGCCCGTGGTGGCCCAAGTGCTCTGCCAGCAGAAATGGGCTCCTGACCTACGTTTTTGGCGGCAACGGCCTCCTGCAATGCTCTGCTAGCGAAAACGGAGCTTGGGAGGGCCACCTGCAGTCGTCCTGAGTGCTGCTTTCGCTCACAGAGGCACCATAGGCTGGTCCCTCAATGTTTCCAGGTCTAGATCTATGCACCCCATGGGCAGGGGTTTGATACCCCTGCAGTAGATGGAAACTCCATCTCCAGAAACCCCTTAGGAGCATAATCTTAACTTCAAAAGCCTTACATAAGCAGTTGCTTAATAATTTTGTTATCTGCCCTCCTTTCAAGTTTCCTAACCAGGGAAAGCAAGTGATGTCGCTGGCATACAGCCATAATAAATGATCCTTGGGGGAATGCTCTTTTATTCAGAAAAACGGGTCCCAATATCTTGTATCTTTTTCTTCCTCAGCTTTAGAAAGTTAGTAAATATTTATAGTTGAAGATGAACTGTCAGTGCATATTACATATCAGAAAGGCACAATGGGAAGGGGGAAAAAGCAGAATGCTGAAGCAAATTACTTACTACTGGTGTGGGTACTCCCTTCTCCTCCCCTCTCTCACTCACATAAACATGATGAGTGCAAGCTATTAGCCCCAGAATGTAGCTATGTGCCATGATATTTCTTAAGATCTATGGGCTTGTAAAAGAACTTTTTCCCCATCCTACCAAAGCAATTAAGCAGTTAGAGAGTTATGAAATGTATGCAGCAGACCGTGTAAAAAGAGCAGGACATAAAGTGCAATTTCCCACAATGGGCAAAATCATAAATTGATCATGCTCTTAGAACAATGCTTCTCAAATAGGGAAATGCAATTATAGAACACTAGTATAAGTGGCAGGGAACCAAATGTAAGTTGGGAGAAATTGATGCGGCATGGAAGGGACATTGGAAAAGTAGCTAGCTGAATTGTAAGTCTTCCATAGACAAACTGTGTAATAGCATAGATTGTGTTCCAGTTACACAAGGAGACCAGTATGAAAGATATATTGTTTCAGCTCCACATTTGTGTTCTCATGTCTAGTTGAAACCAAAAATTGGGCTAAAAGACTTGAGGTCTGATTCAGGTTTTTTCCCCCCATGATAACTGAAACCCATATCGGAGGAAATCTGAGGTCTAGTCCCCTTACCATTTTAAATGATTATGGCAACAGGCATATGACACTTTCTTTTCTACTAGTAAAAATAAAACTGTTAGCAATCTTATGGACTAGTGAAAGTACTTATTTGTTTTCGTCCAAATAGAAGAAGATTTTAAAAATGGTCCCCGGTACTTAAGGGCCTTGATTTGTTCTATGTAGATCTCATTTTCAAATACCGTATTTTTCAGAGTATAAGACGCACCTTTTCCCTCAAAAAAGAGGGTGAAAATCTGGGTGCATCTTATAGACTGAATACAGCATTTTTGGCCTCCCAAAACCCCACCCCCTTCACAAAAATGGAAGTGCAGAGGGTTTGGGAGGCCTGCAAAGTGCTCCTGAGGGTTGGGGAGGGCAAAAAATGGGCCGTTTGTGCTCGTCCCCCCCCCCAGTCCTCTGGCGCACTCTATAAGCCTCCTAAAGGCTATGCGTGCTCTTTTTTTGGCAAAAAACGGACCCACAAAAAATGAGGCGTGCAGAGGGTTTGGTAGATCTGCAGAGTGCAAAAACTTTAGAAAAAAATTGCCTCTTCAAAATCTTGGTGCGTCTTATACTCCGGTAAATCTTATACTCCAAAAAATATGGTAGTAATTGTGCCTATCCTACTTTTGAATAATGATCACTGATTTTTGTCTTGGAATGCTGATTATTAAGTTGTAATGTCTACATTATGGGGCCCAGGCCATAGATTCTCTGCCTTAATCTGACTTGTGTTGTGGATAAGATGTTGTGTCATTAGTATAAAGAAGGACTGCCAGTTTAGTGTGATGTAGTTCATTGTTAAAGTTTGGCTCGTGGAGTTAAAATGGAAAATGTGGGGCTAGAATGCACGTTTGCCTCATTCCTTTTTGAATAGGAATTAGTACAAGTGGGCAGTCAGAGGAAAAACTGCTTTGTGCTGGTATGAAGTTATGTAATTGTGTTATCAAAAGTAGTACTGTAGTATTCAGTCAATTGAGGAGAACTAAATCAATTGAAGACCACTCTCAGTCTCTCTACAGGTAGTCTGCGACTTACAACAGTTCATTTAGTGACCGTTCAAAGTTACAATGGCACTGGAAAAAGTGACTTATGACAGTTTTTCAGAATTACGCCCTGTACAGCATCCCCATGATCATGTGATCAAAATTCGGATACTTGGCAACTGGTTCATATTTATGATGGTTGCAGTGTCATATGATTCCCTTCTGTGACATTGTGACAAGCAACGTCAATGGGGAAGCCAGATTCACTTAACAACTAAGTTGACATATCAACTGCATTGACTCACTTAACAACCATGGCAAGAAAGGTTGTGAAATGTAGCTAAACTGACTTAACAAATGTCTCATTTAACCACAGATATTTTGGGCCCAATTGTGGTCCTAAGTGGAGGATTAGCTGTATCTCTCCCTCAGTTTAATTTGGCCTTTCCTAACCTAGACTCATTCAAATGAGTAGAATTCAATTCTCAAAACATTTACAGGTATAAATAAAAGGCAATACATTTGTAAGAGCCATATAATGGTATACCCCCATTAAGTTCTGTATTTGCAAATTTTATCAATACATCTGAATTTCTGGAACCTTTCAGAATGTGAAACAATCAAAAGAGAACTCTGCAGTTGTTCTGGCTTTTAAATAATGATGTAATTTGAATGAGGGGAATAAAATGTAAGTAAATGGAAGAATTAATTTATCTATTTTATAAATAAAATGTAAATAAATAGGACGTGGTGGCTCAGAGGCTAAGATGCTGAGCTTGTTGATCAGAACGGTTGGCAGTTCGGCAGTTCGAATCCCTAGCGCTGCTCCCATTATTTGTCCAAGCTTCTGCCAATCTAGCAGTTTGAAAGCACATAAAAATGCAAGTAGAAAATAGGGACATCCTTGGTGGGAAGATAACAGCATTCCATGCACCTTTGGCATTTAATCATGCCCGCCACATGACCACGGAGACATCTTCGGACAGCGTTGGCTCTTCAGCTTTGAAACGGAGATGAGTACCACCCCCTAGAGTCGGGAACGACTAGCATATATATAGAAGAAATGTTAAATAGGGCCAGATCTCCATTCCTCTTGTTGTAGAACCATATATCCCTTCCAAATATTTGATGATTTAAGGGAGAATTTTAAGAATTTGCAGGGGGGAAAAAAGCTTACACTTAAAGATTTCTTTTTAAAAAGGAAAAAAAGATCTATGGAAAAATTACCAAACTGAGGTTCTATTACAGCATTATTTATTTATTAAATTTATTTGCCGCCCATCTCCTTCTGAAACAACTGTGGGTGACTTGCAGCCGAGTTCCAAGAGTCCTAAGACAAAACAACGACACAGAGAAATGCAACTGTACTTATGTTATATATTCATTGTTTCATATTAGAAATTGGCTTACAATATAACCTATGAAAAATGTGTAAATTAGCCATATCATTTGCTAATTGTGTAACAAGATTGAAAACAACTATTGCGTGTCTGAAGTATTTTAGTTCTGAAATCAAGTTTGCGTAGAAACAAGCTAGCACTCAAATTAAAAAAGACAATGTTACTTATTAGCTACTGCAGTGTAAAACAAATCTTTAAATGCATCAAAACCAAATGCTTGAAA